CTCTTGCGGTGGAATACATTTTGGGTGTAGCGGTGCTGCGGGTGCACCCAGCTCAGTGACATATATACTAGAATATACGTCATTGGTCCAGCTCTTCTTGAAGGCGGGGCCTAACGTTACCTGCACACTTTGCAGTGATTCAATGGACCAACTCCCCTCTCATCATTAGTTACTTTCAAAGTAACAAACAAATTAAAAAGCCGCAACATGAATGTAACGTGTAATGCAACACATTATAGAAATGTAGTGTAGTACAAAGTACAGATACTTGATGTAAAATGTAGTGAAGTAAAAGTATAAAGTAACCACATTTAACTCTACTTAAGTAAAGTACAGATACATGAAAAATGTACTTAAGTACAGTAACAAAGTATTTGTACTTAGTTACATCCCACCACTGGTTGTAGCGTTATCTAACATGTGACCTACATGTCTGCAGGTAAACACAAAGTTTGGTTACATAATTATTTTTAGAAGAGCAACAGACCTTTTTTTTTGTGTGTGTGTGTGTGTGCGAACTCTAGAAACATTTGTGAAGCAGAATCGGAATAAAACTCCAAAACAACCGGGAACTCTGGGAGTCTTGGAAACTGGGTTTCTTCCCGTTTGTGCGTGGATCTCAGCAGCCGGCGCCGTGGGACTCGGAGCTGCTTCAGACGAGCGAAGCAGCTCGTCGTTTGCAAACAGACGGCGGAGCTCGTTACAGACGCTCTGCGTGAAACGATCCCATCAAGCAGCCTGGATGAGCGAAAAGAACCGGAAACCCGACCGTCGTGTTTGCTTCCAGAGCAGAGCGAACAAAGAGCACGTTTGATTGACAGAGAGGTTTGTTAGATAACTGCAGCTTTGCCCTTTTCTAAAAGCTTTTCTCCCGACGGGTAACAGAAGAAGAAAGGAGCCCAACAACCAGCTCAACCTCCTCCATTAATATTCCTGTAAGATTTTACACAAGTGCTTCCTGAGGTTACTTTAGGTCGCAGTCTGGTGTTTTGTCACGAGGTTCGGTGGGTTCTGAGTCAGAGGCGACGCAGGTTTCGGCCTCGCTGCAGATGTTCTTCCTGTAGAGACGAGCCCGAGCCAAATCGTTCCCACTAATGGAGACGGCTCCCCCGCTCCGAGCTCGAATAATGTCCGAGTCTGTGTAACCGTAGGTGGTAAAAGATGATTAAAAAGGGGCCGAGCTGAGTTAGCAGCACGGATCGCAGGAGACGGGAAACCAAGGGAGGCGATGCATCAGCAGAATGAACGTGAAGCCATTACTCAAGATGGCGGTTCTGTGATGGACGGGAAGACTGTAGCTCCATTATCCGACACAAATTAACCTTTTTTTTTTTTTATTGTGAAAGACACTGAGCCAAGCAGGACTTCGATGTTCTGGTTTACACAACCTTTTAGAGTAAAACGAAGAACATAAATCAGTTCAGGTTAGAAATTCAACACATATGTTTGATTACAGGTTACCTATAGTAAAGCACGGTGGAGGCTTTACCAGAATATGGCACTGTTTGATGCCTCTAATATGACAGGAATTAAAATGACGAGGGAAGCAAAATGTCAACAACGAGATAAATTATTTAAAATAAACGATACGCCAACGTCGCACTTCATTAAATGATTTAACAGTGACTGTAGTTTTCGAGAGGACGGTTTTTCTAGACGGGAATTGAACAGAGAATGCAAGTACAACTTAATGTTTTTGGTACAAGACATTTTGCTTTTCACCATTTAAAATTATTACAATTAACAGTTTTTAGGCTCTCTGAAGTTTGTTTTGTCTGCATTTTAACTCATTTCCTGTCCCTTTATCGAGCTGTTCTGAGAGAAATCTTCATAACCTGATCTAAAATTGAGATAAACCTCTTGTAAAAAAACCAAAACCAGTTTAAACGTTAGGTTTATCCCGTCTAAACATATGGTTTTTATCTCATTTCTTTAGATGAAACAATAAAAATGGTTAAATTATATCTGTAAAAGCAGTTTTGATCCCTCATTAATCAGCTCGTTCTATAAAAGTCAAAATCTTATAAATGACTTTCTGTGCAGCAACCTGCCTTTATCTGTTCCCATCTATACTTTGATTGCCCTGGAGCTCCCCAGACTTTAAAATAACTCTGGTTATAACTCGGCAGCGTTTTCCTGAAACTTATCACCACCTGCCAGCAGCTGCATCGGCCCACCTGTCTCCTCCAGCTCTGCAGGGTATTATAATCCAGCTGTGAAGGTTTGAAGCAGAGAGTGTTTCCATGAAGAGGAGGATTTAATTACACACAGTCGCAGCAGGTAGATGGACGTCTCAGAAGAGAACTTTCTACAACAGTAGATGTTAGCGTAATAATGAGCAGCTCGGACAGACCCTTCTGACACGAACAGCAGCCGCTGTGTGGACTTTATTTTCAGCAAGACGTGGGCAGCAGGCAGGGTTGGGAGTTTCAGTGCAGGATTGTGTTTGACTGGACTCGAGAGGCAGAAACTTCAGCGCTACTCGACGTGGGGAGGGAGCAACACTCAGTCTGTGGGGGCTCGTTAGTGTCTGCGGTGTCGTTACACCAGTCTGCATCCAGTAAAAGGCAGAGGTAGCGTTTCCTTTACTGTTATCCAAGGGATGCCCCGCCCTGTCAACAGAACTGAGCCTCCCTACTGAAAAGACATTCACTCATCCACAACTCAATGTCGGCACTGATGTAATGTAGCGCTAAGCTAGCAGCGCGCTATACAGACGTGCTAGCTTAAAAGCTACGTAGCGCTCCGCTACATTAGTGCCAACAACTGCCGACACTAACGTAGCGCTAAGCTAACGCGCAAAACGTTCGTCTCCATCTCCCCATGAAGATACGAGTGCCATGCCAGCAAGTGACCTAGAAGAAACACAGAGGGATCAAATTTTTTGACATTTCTTCACCACCTCCAGTGCTTAATTTGTGCCCGATCCTGCCGGAACAGAATCCGGGAGCTCTTATTTTGACAGGGTAAGTTCTGGTAACTGTTTGTTTGGATCCAGTAACTCTAAAGTTATAAACAAATATGACTGCCTTGAACTAATAAAACTTATATTGGATATGTAAACTGAAAGTAATTACATAAACACTCATTTTAAACACAAGCTTCTTAATATCACATACGAGCTGCTCCTTCAAGTAAGCATTTCCACGTCTACCCTTAAAAAAATCTCCGCACCTAAAAGAGTGGTGGGGGTGAGTGCTGAGCTAACCAGGCAGCAGCAATGAACAGTCGGAGGAGGAGCCTGGAGGTTTCACATGGAGTCGGACAGTAAATTCAGCGGAGAAGAGTCGATTCAGAACCATCATTCGTTCATTCAATCTTTATTTAGACAGGTTAATCCCACTGAGCCTCGAGGACTCATTTGCAAGAGAGAAAAGTCAGTCAAGTAAGTGGGAGGGGGTAGAGTTGCATTCGGGCCCAAAAAAAATCACAACCCGACCCGGCCCCAGCCCGTAGCTGTCATTTCCGAACCCCACCTGACCCGACAAATTAACAGTTTTACAGGTCAGAACCCGAAACCCCCCCCAACATTTTTAATTAAGCTTTGACTGCTTATACAGTTATTAACAGTCGGCAGAGACATGCGGCTGAGTAAGGGGGCAGAAGATTGGAGCTGAGGGGGTGTTTGTCCTTTCATGGCCATCAAAGCACATTAAATCCCTGCTTATTCCTGCATTCTGCATTATTCAGACACAGACCCTGTTCTGATGTTTGTTTTGGGATCTCGCCTGTTTGGGTCGTCCGCCGCTAGTGTCCGCTGAGTGCAGAGGCTGCGCGTCCATTTGGGTTGATGAATCGCTGGCAGTAGTCCATCTGAAGCTTAACTGAACTTTTTTTACTTCTTTCAGTGCGTGGTCAAATGGCCACGTGCGGCTGGTGAATATATGGCAAACCATGTTGCTATATAATTGGACCGTCAGCTGCACGCATCCACTGATGCAATCAAAAGCCCAACACCGGCCCGGCTCGCACATTTTTATAGCCCGGCCCTAATCCAGGCTGAGCTCTGGGTTCGGGTTAGAAATGACAGCTTAAGGTAGGGGGAAGATACTTGACAGAAGCCGAGTGTTTACAAATGTAGGTAAACATAGATGTTTAACAACCCCATTAAAAAACACCAAAATGCAGGAAATCGCATCTACTTGATTCAAAATTTTCTGGGGGAGGACCCTCCTCTGCACTGGTTCGCTCGCTATTTGCGTTCCGGCATTGATTAGTTTACAAATTAAATCCTGACCACCTCCATCACCATCTCACAGTCCAGCTCAGAAACAGGCTTGTTCATGGTTCCAAATACTCAAATTATGACCCCTCCCCCACCATGCTTGACACTGTATGGGGTAAATATCTCCACTGATGTGAGGTTTTCTACAACCGATGCCGCTCTTCAGGGTGTATACAACTCAAATGCAGGAGTCCGTTCCAACACGTTCCAACATTTTTAATTGATTTTATGACAAAGTCAAGAAGTTGCTGAGCTTCTGTGCCGGGCTCTGCAGAGCTGCGAACTTGTCATCCTAACCATTCATTTTCTTGATAATTGGAAGCTTGGAAAGGTCTGCACACATTTTAATCAGGAGATTTGTTTTTTTATTATTACATCTTCTTCTTCCAGGAAGTAAGCTCCGCTGACCTGCAGCCAGGCCCCGACATTAACGAGCCTTTAGAGGATTTAAATGTTTATGAGCAACTTTCCTGGAGACTATTCTAAACTTCTCAAAGTGCTTTCGAGCAAAAAAGCTGCAGGTCTCAGGAAGGACGCAGCCTTTTGTTGTCTTTTTAAGTTCTGCAGACAAAACGAAGAACCATTCGTCTCTCGTGAGACACAGACAATCACAAAGAAATCAATAATTCATCTATTTTTAGAGAAGCTTTCTCGTAGCCCAGAGCGTTTCAGCGCTCCGGGTCTGTATGGGCCTCGGTGTCACAGTTTGGACTCTGGGTAAATTAATTGTCCTCAGAGGAGACGAGGTGAGAGAAGTGATGAAGAGCTCCTGTACCTGCTGAGAGATGGCATAACCGATGACGGTGTCTCCCTGAGGGACGTTCCAAGTCACCATGGCGGAGTGCGCCCGCAGCTGGGTCACCGAGACGTTCACGGGCGCCGCAGGCACAGCTGAAACACAGAACACATTCCCTGTGAGGGGTCAGGATTTTCTGGGTTTTACCCACTAGAAGTTGGACCGGCCTGCCAGGAACACCAACATCCACTTTAAAATTCATGTTCCTGAACGTGATGGATGAGACTTCAGCCACTTAGTGGAAGTACGAAGCTAACAGAGACAAGACCGTGTGTTGCCAATTCATTAACCGTCTTTTTTTTTTTTTTTTTTTTTTACCAAACCATTAAAGTAATTGATCTCACTCCATCACCAAGGATCACAAACGCTGAGGGCTGAAGATTGAGGAGCATTAAGTGTAGAACCACTAGACTGAGGAACAGCTTCTACCCTGAAGCTGTTAGACTCATGATTATCAGGATTATCACTGTGAAAATAAATCACCGTAATGCCACTTTGAGTAAGTAAGTGCTATGTGTTGTCATCATCGTATGTTCCCATACAATGGCGAAATTAGTTCATTGCATTTAACCCATTGCACCTGGGATACACCCAGGTGGAGAAGTGGACAGCTATGTAAGCACCCGGGGAGCAATTAGGGATTAGGTGTCCTGCTCAGAAACACCACGACGTGTGAATGGCTGGGGTTGAACCTGGGACTTTCGGGTCCTGAGTCAGCTGCCCTGCCTCTACCCCATCTCAAAAAACTGTAGCTATAACCAGGTAAACAGTAGCTAAAAACTACAATTAACAATTTACGAGTTTTGCTTTATTTTTTCTTCATTAAAATAAAGCCAAAATCAACCCATTACTAATTATTTCAAAGCTTAAATTTGATTTTCTAGGAATCCCAGTTTTGTCCTTCCTCAGCTTTCCTACACTTCTAACACAGCTTTCCTTTTTTTATGGGGCCGAGATGGGGTAGAGGCAAGGCAGCCGACTCGGACCCGAAAGCCCCAGGTTCGATTCCCAGTTATTCCCACATGCCGTGGCATCTCTGAGCAAGAAACCCAATCCCTAATTGCTCCCCGAGCACCTGCATAGCTACCTGCTGCTCCACCTGAGTGTATCCCAGGTAGTGTTGTAGTCAAGACCACCCAACCCAAGACCAAGACTAGAGTGTACTGAGACAAGACCAAGACCTTTAGAGTCCGAGACCAAGACCGAGGGAGGTCGAGAACAAGACCTCAAATAAAATAAGAACATTTTATTATACTTTTATTTATATATATACCATACCATACCATACCAACTTTATTTATAAAGCACCTTAAAACAACCATAGCTGACACAAAGTGCTGTACATTAAAACACCACATAATAAAAATGAAAATAAAAACAGTTTAAAAACAGAAAACATACAATTTAAAACTAGATCCTGCTGGTGTTAAAAACATACATTTTAAAAGCATACAAAATTTAAAAACTAGATCCCGCTGGTGTTAAAAGCCAAGTAGAATAAATGAGTTTTAAGACGAACTTTAAAAATGGACAGTGAAGGGGACTCTCTGACCTGCAAAGGCAAGTCGTTCCATAACTTAGGGCCCATGACAGAGAAAGCCCTGTCCCCTCTGAGCTTCCTTCTTGTTCTTGGTACCTCCAAGAGCAGCTGATCTGCTGACCTGAGAGACCGATAGGGTATGTAGGGATGAAGAAGCTCAGAGAGGTAAGCCGGGGCAAGATTATGCAGTGATTTAAAAACAAACATGAGAATTTTAAAATGAATCCTAAAATATACAGGCAGCCAGTGAAGTGAAGCCAGGACAGGGGTCACATGTTCCCTCTTTCGAGTTCCTGTTAAAAGTCGTGCAGCAGCATTCTGAACCAGCTGCAGACGTGAGAGCAGCAACTGACTGACTCCCAGATAAAGTGCATTACAGTAATCCAATCGAGTCGAAATAAAAGCGTGGATCACCATTTCAAAATGCTGCCTGGAAAGAAAAGACTTCACTGACGCCAATCGCCTTAAATGATAAAAGCTGGACTTAACCACGGCTTTGATTTGGCTGTCCAATTTAAAATCACTGTCCACCTTAAAACCAAGATCTGTAATAACAGGTTTAAAAAATTTCTCCAAGGGTCCCAGGTCAATAGAGGAGGACTCACAGGAGCCACTGGGTCCAAACACCATCACCTCGGTTTTGTTTTCATTAAAATTTAAAAAGTTCAAGGCCAACCAAGCTTTAATATCTCCTAGACATTCCAGGAGATGTGTGAACGTATGTCCATCCTTCTGCTTTAGGGGTAAATAAATCTGACAATCATCAGCGTAACAATGGAATGAAATCCCATGTTTCCTAAGGATAGAACCCAGAGGCAGTAAGTACAACGAGAAGAGCATAGGGCCCAGAATTGAGCCCTGCGGGACACCATATTGCATTGGAACTGAAGATGATTCAGAGTCATTAATTTTCACTGAAAATGTTCTCTCCTCCAAGTAAGACTTAAACCATTTAAGAACAGTGCCATCAATACCAACAATATATCGTAATCGCGATATTAAAATGTTGTGGTCCACTGTATCAAAAGCAGCAGTTAGGTCAAGTAAAATCAGAACAACATGATTACCAGAATCACAATCAAGAAGGATGTCGTTAAAAACTCTAATTAAAGCAGATTCTGTACTGTGGAGAGTTTTAAAACCTGACTGGAAAACCTCCAGAATGCCATTGTCATTTAAAAACTGTGTCAGCTGACAGTATACAAGTTTCTCTAAAACCTTAGAAAGAAAAGGCAGCTTTGAAATAGGCCGATAATTAGCCAGAACAGTTGGATCAAGGCCAGGTTTTTTAAGCAGGGGCTGCACCACTGCATGTTTAAAACTAGCAGGGACCACACCTGAGGACAGACTGCCATTTAAAATTGCAAGAACAGGCAGCCCTATACTAGATAAAATATCTTTAAAAAGTCGTGGAGGGACAGGATCACGTGGGGAACCTGATGGCTTAATGCGGCCAACTACGTCCTCTAAAAGTGAAACAGTCACAAGCTCAAACTGATTAAAAACAGCAGAGCAAGGGACTGAAACTGAGGGGTCAGAGTCAGGAGCTGTAATAAGAGCCCTGGTACTACCAACCTTTTCAATAAAGAAACGCAGAAAATTTTCACACATGCCAGGAGAAGCTTCCAAACAGGCATTTTGTGGAATATTAAGCACAGAGTCAATGGTGTCAAATAAAACACGTGGGTTATGGCTGTTTGAAGAAATAACACTAGCCAAATATTCCCTTTTTGCTTCTTTAACCGTGCTCTGGTAGAGACGCCAACAGTCTTTTAAAATCTGAAAAGTAGCCTGCAGTTTGTCCTTTTTCCATCTGCGTTCAATACGACGACATTCCTTCCTTACAGCACGAGTTCTGTCATTAAACCAAGGCTCAGGTTTAATCCTTGGCTGCCTAGTTTTTAACGGAGCAACCGAGTCCAGGATGGTCTGACAGAAAGAACAGAACCATGACCAGAGCTCTTCTGTATTGGAGTGGAGGAAGTCAGATGATCCACAGAGCTGAAGAAAAGCAGCAGAGAACTGAGTGGCAGTGGAAGGGTTAATAATCCGACAGCGCCGAACAGCAGCGCGAGTTTTAACTGTAGTAGGTGTCAAAGTGACACTGAATAAAACAGGCAGGTGATCCGAGAACACAGCGTCACAGATTTCCAGATTAGTCACTGGCAGACCACAGGAAATAACCAGGTCCAATGTGTGTCCATGTTCATGTGTAGGGCCGGATACGGCCTGTACCAGATTAAAAGAGTCCAGAAGGCTTAAAAAGTCCTTTACCAGAGGCTTATCAGGACAGCACACATGCAAATTGAAGTCTCCAACAAAAAGAACTTTGTCATAATTAGTTAAAATCCCAGATAAAAAGTCAGAAAAGTCACTTAAAAAATCCTTGTTATATTTGGGGGGCCGGTAGACGACAGCACAGAAAACTGGGTTTACGTGTCTCATCTCAAAAGTCGTAAACTCAAAGCTGGGAAAAGACGTCTGTAGAAAACACTGCTTACATTTGTAGTCCTGTTTGTAAACAGTTGCTGTGCCTCCCCCTCTCCCCGAGGCCCGTGGTGAATTAAAATAAGCACAATTTGCTGGTAAGAGCTCAGATAGAGCGCTGTACTCACCAACACTCAGCCACGTCTCAGTCACAAACAAAAAATCCAGGTTTTGGCAGCTAAAAAAGTCCTGAAGAATAAAAGTTTTATTCCCAAGCGACCTGGCGTTTATCAGGCCAATCCTGACAGGAACTGGATCCTGGGCGTCGACAGGTCGGGAAACCCGGCACAGCGGTCTCAGGTTTTGGAGACACCGTCGGCGCATGTTGATCCAAGAAGGGCGGGGACGGCGATGCAGAGGAGCTTGAAAGCCGACCACTGGCACCAAGCAGACATGAGCGGGATCCAAGAAACGCCGAGGCACCCGAGAGCCCAGAAACGATCCATGTGATGATCGGTTAAAGGCAGAACAGTGCGTCATATAAAACTTCAGCTTCACCAGCCAGCCGCTTCGTCTACCGCGACGACGATGACGTCTCCGCCGTGTAAGCAGCGCAGGAACCCGGAACAGGTAGCTTGGAATCTCCGACAGAAGCGGGGGCAAGGATTGTTGGCCAGCAACATCCAATAATTCCATATCCTGGACCAGTGGCCGGAGGTCTAGTAATGTATTGCGATCGTACACCAGCAGAGACCCAGCTCCGCAGACAACCCAGGTCAGAAACAACACAAACAACAGCAAACGCGAGAGAGACAGACGAGCAGCCACATACACCGGCGCCATCTTTACCGAGCTCTCCAGCCTAAAAAAAAAAAAATATATATATATATATATAAAATAAAATATATATAATAAAAATTACATACTGCAACTTTGTTTTTGAATGAATATATCAGCTTTTATAAAGTTTCAAAGCTACATAAAGAAATCAGACTGTCAGTGGTCTAACTTCATGTGACTCAACAATAAAATTACACAACTGTCAAATTGGAAGCAGTTTCATCACAAACACTCTTCATATGTCCAAACTCAAGACCAAGGATAACCATATAGTTGCACAGTGGTTTC